ATGTTGCTTGTGTATTTCGTACGTATTAGCGACAACACTCCAGCACTAGAAACAGAAGAAGAGTAAGACCTCCATTCCGTTGATGTATCCAATTTGCGTTGATCCGAGAGGTTATAATGGCGTAAGCGTTGCCTTCGCCAAATAAAGAAGCCATCGAAATATTAGAATTCTACAGAAACTCAAATAAAAACTTTATTTCCCACAAGTCATCAGAAAACCAACTAATTAAATAGATGTTTTAGTGAAAGCACAAATACTTATGCTGTGTCTCAGGACACTCACTTCCATTTATTGACTTTAAAGCGACTATGAATACATATTGATGATATTGCAACATCTGACAGCGATAAAATTCAATTTCTTTAAATACATATGTACATACTTTGCGCTCATACACAGTATATCTTTGAATTACTTTTAAATTCCTTACATACAAAGTATGGCTTAAATAAGTAATTATTGGTACATTGTGGTGATCAAGTTTTTTTTTACTTCCACAGTTGTTCAATTTTTTTGACACTTGACTATGAGTAACACCAATGAAACTATAATCTATTATATTTTACTTCTTTTTTTTTTGCAGATTGAATTTCCAAATACAATAATCTGATCAATACGAGCGTTACACGTTACACTTCCATAGATATATTTTAAACCATCAATTTTCTTACTTCAATCAGTATATATTATATAATAAGTATGTATGTGTGCATGTGACGCTGTTTTTGGAAGACCATGACATAGAATCTTTATAAACAGCGCTTTTTACTTTCAAAGCAAATAATGAAAATAAGAAAAGTTTCTTTTAAGATTCTTCAAGCTCATATAATATCCTGCAAACAAGTTTGTAAAGATACAATTCAAATTTAATAAAAAGATGGAATGAGATAGATATTAAATATTCTATTTGTCAAATCCTAAGGTGGTGGATACCCGGAAGATTTGCATTCGCGTTTAAAAGTAATAGAATAAAAACAGTTTATTAATTTCGAATTCAATCAAGTATTAACTAAAAGTGGAGCGATCGCTTGGCGGCAGACAGGAGTTCATTGTCCATTAACGGAATGGAAAATCTAAGCGCCAAGTAAAAGACTCGAGCCGACAAATAATAATGAGTTAGCTGTTCGCTTTTTGTACTAGATTTAACAATACTTTAGGGTGAAGACCTAAAAATTATTTATGCATCATTTACTTGTGTATTGAATGTAGGAATTGCTGGTTTAAACGGAATTTTTTAAATTGCTTTATGTTGTTGGAAGCGTTTTTTCAATTGTTCTAAGACCCAAACGACCTACATTATCAAAAAGCATATTTTAAATCACTCTTAGTTATAAGTTTAATTTATTCGTAGAAATTCATATTACGTTTTACTTTTCAGTCAAGCTATGAGTTTTACTTTTACTTTATTTTAATCAACCCCGTAGCAGCCGCAAAAATATGTCAATGTGAACAACGTAAACGAGCGCTTTGTTTCATCGAAAGTTTGTCATAATACTACGAGTATGTGAAAATCTGTTCGATCGATCGTCACTTGCGGTCAGTGACGAAAATGCAAAGCTGCTCACAATACGTGTCAATATTCAGAATTTTACGATTTAAGACATTCAAATGTTTTATTTACCTATGTACAAAAGAAATCAAATATTTTCTAAAAAAAAAAGAAACACATTGAACAATCTGTTTCCCGGTATATAGATTGAGCTTCTGGGGGAACACAACTCACTTTAATTTTTTTTTTTTATCAAATTAAGTTGGAATCTAAACTTTGCTCCAAACAAACTGTATTGCTGGAAAGAATTTAATTTTTTGGGACATAGCAGAGAAAATATTATGCAGAAAGAAATACATGTTACTAATTCATAACTTTCATAAACAACATTATTGGTCAGACGGTGCATCTTCAACCAATAGTGTAAGATATCATGCAGCACCACGAGCAAAAGTGATCGCTTGCCGCGTCCGTACAGAATTATACGCGGCGGTATTACCGTGTTTTTTGGAATGATGCTGTATGTGTATGTGGCATACTAAACTAGAAATTTTCTCAAAATGTGGATCAACGCGTTCCTCGATTATTTTCTTTGGGTTGGTAGCAAAGCCAAGTAAAGTGCTTTGAAAAATTGACAATAAATTTGTATGTTAAAATAAAAAAGTAGCTTAATACTTGCGAAACACGATGGACTACTCTGAAACCCAATCGGATTGATTTCGTATCGATTCTGTAGTTCTTCGTTTTCGTTGAGCCAGACAATCAGTAAAAAATTAGCAACGAGAGAGCAGAAATTTGGCGTTTGTTTGGAGAGAAAATTGGAAATTTGTGCAGGGAAAAAACAGCTATTGAATTTCGCGTAGCCATGACAATCCACTGAGTCTCTCTGCATAAAAATTGCATACAAAAAGGCGTATATAAAAATATGTTATCTACCCACAGTATTAAGTGAATTTGAACCAAATTTAAAGAATTGCTCTTTCTTGCTTTTTCTCAATTTGAGGTAAAAGATGTTACCAGAGATCAGTCGGAGCAGATGCACTGGGTATGACTTTTGGCAACATCCGGGTTACGTTCCATACATTTTAGAAACTAATACCGGTTCCGATTTACCCTATAAAACGAAATACAATACATACCGTATATAATAGATTATATACGTTTATGTATATAATAGGCGCACAGAACACCAAATTAGTTGAAATATTATATTTGCACATAGATTCTGATAAATAAAATAAAATAGGATGTCAGAACATAACTATCCAATTCCTATTTCAATCAAATTGAATTTAAGGATAGTTCTGATAGCCATAAAAGTCAAAAGCTTTTAATTTAGACCCTGTAAGCCGGCCATATAATAAAATAGAATCGACTTTATAATAGAATTTATTCGATTGTTTACTTAAAAACCAAGAAAGACCTTAATTTTTCCTTCTAAACGCTACTAATATTTAGTTTTGTGCATCGTCGTCGCTTCCGTAAGCTTAAGAATCCATCATCGTCACTGTGGACGTTGCTACAATCTTGCTTTTCAATGTTTGCGCCTCATTTGGTCTCTCTCTTCTAATTCTATGTCTATAACTTCTAATTAATCAACGTGGGATCGGTGGTGTTTGGGGGATGGTTGTAATCCACTGCCACCACATTCTCATTTAATGAGAACTTCTACTATTTAATTGAATCGTGGCTAACATTAAATTTAATTTAACGAAATTATATCTGGACACTTATTTTATTATCATATCATACATATTAAAGTGTTACTATTATTTTAATTTTAAATCAGTTTGTTTTGTTGACAAGCATATAATCACAAATAATTCTTAAACTTGCTAGTTTTTACTGGCTGGAATTTTCCTATTCCTCTCCAAACTAAATGTCAAAATTGCGCTCTTTCGTTACTAGTTTTCCTAGGTTTCTGGCGCAACGAACACGATTCAGTAAAGTCCAGTAAAAATTGTAACAGCCCATCTGATCAACGAACGGAACTATTGTCTGGACTGGTTTTGATATTTTGTATTTTGCTAGTATCGTCTGTACTATGTATGTATGTATGTACTTTCAAACTATGCCGTAGATGCTTAATACACAAAAGCTTATTGGAGTAATCTATACTCATTCTTGATAGAATATGATTTTTAGAGCGCTATCAGAAGATAAAATTTTTCGCATCATGTTATCTTTGCTAAACTACGTCTTCGTCAAACCACAAAAAAATATTTAGCAGAGTCAAATGCGTCTTCGTTATATTTTAGTTATATAAAGTCATATGTAAAAAGAATACCCTTTTACAAGCTTTGTTAAAGGTGTATTGATTTTATACTGACTTTGACTGAAGGAATAAGTTCTGTGAGTTGATTTAGGTAAAATAATTTTTGAAATTGGTGTATTTAGTTTAAGCGAAATTTGGGGTGTGTTTTAATATACTGCCATTTACAACAAACATGAACTTAGGTATTTGAAAACTACACATCTTTCTAATTTAAATGTTTTTCATAATACAGACATATTACTGTGTACATAATACCATATTTTCATTTAGTTTTTGTTCAGTTTAGAACAAGTAACTACAGGGAAAAACTTATCATTTTCTTCAGAGTTATAGTCATTATACACGAGAGGGAGAGATCGATACTCAACTGACTTCGAATAGTCGAAGACATTTCTAGCAAATAGATTTATCCATTGCGCGTGCATGCACAAAAAAGTATAGCATAGTACATAAGCCAATCAAGTGTAAATGATGTACAGTTGCACGGATGATCAAATGTTTTTCAATTTCGTGTTCAATTTTCTTGCAGAATCGAAACTTTTGAAATTTATTCAGAACCTTCAATAGTACAAAGTCACCTACGAATGGCAAATTTTTTTAAACATCAGTTTTGTATAACAAGCAATATTTATCTAGTCACCACCCGTTTTTTCGATGTACAACAAAAACCCTTAAAGGACACCAATTTAACAGTAATTTTCACTGAACATTAATAGAAATCCTTTACAATAAAAATAAAAATAAAATAAATATATATATACTAAAATATATATATGTATATACATATGTACCATGTATGTATATTTCAAGAAAAAATAAATAACTTCGGTAGTAAAATACGGCAAGGGGATGTAATCCTGCAATAACTATTGTCACAAAAATGTTTCGGAAATTAATTTCAATGATAAACTAAATAAGTTTTAAAGCAGCAAAAATTGCATTTGGACTCGCTAATGAAAAACGAGCAGTTTTTAATGCCTCAAGCAATGTGATTTTCAGTTTTTTCAGTGCTCAAGTTTAAATAAAGCTCGTCTTTTTTAAAAAGAAGCATGAGCACAAATTCGACATTCGAAAATCGATCTGTTTTTTTTTTGCCTACACTTATTTATTAATCATTATTATAAAAATTTAAATTCAAAATATCGTTCGCCCTGTTCAGATATTGGATTAAATATTTTTCCTACGTATTTTCAGTTACCGGACGCATTGTTTGTATATTGAAAATCAGCTTTAATCCATTAACAAACGATAAATTTATTAAAAAAAAAACAATATTTTTTCCAAACTATATATGAAATCCATTTCTAGAAATTATAATAACTTATAATTCTTCTTTTAGAAATCTTTTTTCAACTAACACAAAAATAAGTTTTCCACACTTAGCCCTAGGTGCACCAAAATATCATTTTAAAATGCTTGAAACTGAAAAAATTAAATGTTATAAATGAATTTCTGCTACAAATGTATTTATTATTAAAAGAAAAATCTTAATCCTTCCCTTGGTTACTTGGTGTCTTGTCACACTTACCCTACCTTATTACGATTCATATTTGGTGCTTTAGACTGAATCTTTGATTTATTCTCGTATCTATCAAGAAACTGCTTACTGCTTTTTAGTAACTTATAATAATTTCACACGAACACTACAAGTGGAGAAAGCGCTCAGATTTACAAAAAGTTTTTAAGTTAAGTTTTAGCTAACTTTGTGCTAAATTCTATTGCAGTATTAGTTAGAAATTTGGATTTCTTACTAACACGTTATGGATTATTTTATTAGTGATCTTACGACGACTTTTTCAAAGCATAAACTTAAAGCTAAAATTTATATTTGTAGCATGTCATTTTTTTCATAAATTAATATTTATTATATAACCTATTTTAATAAAAATTAAGTGTGCGCTTATGCAGCAAGAGGAATAGCCTTGTATTGGATATTGTTGAGAAGATCTATAACAAAACACAATAATTTCATTTAGATAAGAATAAATTTCACTCATTCATTTAGTGTAGAAATATAACATTTGTACGTCATTTAATTTAATTCCAAAATTAAGTTTAACGAAGAAGCACAATGATTTCAAAGAACATTAATACTCTTACATACTCTTTTAGACAGTTTGTTTCGAGTAACTTATGTATTGTGTTTTGATATGGTAAACATATTCACTATATAAGGGGTCAACTTAAAAATTATATTATGCTATATAATTACAACAAAAAATTGCTTATGTTTTGAGATCAACTCAAATTTAAAACAAACAGAAGGATGTCAAACTGCAATTCAGCTATTTGTAAATCATGCTAACGTTAAATAAAGTATGTGTTTAAGGAAACTCAAATCAAGGATATTCATATCGACATCATTGCTACCGTAATTATGACTATGGTATACTCGTAATTTCAAAATCTGATGAAAAGGCACCCTAAAGCGCCGATTCATAGCCCTTACAAAAGGCATTGCTTTAACTCGTGCCAATCGTCACCTGCCATGCACATGATTGGACACCTGTGCCTTTGCTTGTTTGCCGCCAGTTGTTGAAGAAGATGCGTTAGTACTGGCTCCTCCAGAACGATTTGCAACGTTACCGGCATTCTCGTTTCCCCGATCACGATCACGGTCACGCTCACGTTCTCGCTCTCCGCGATGATGGTGATGATGCTGTTGATGTCGTCTACCTCCTCGATAGTGTCGGCGATTATGATGATAGTTGTTGTTAGTGGGTTCGTTACTTACTCGATGTGTTTGCTGAACGACTGGTGCGAAGTTTGTACTGCTCGAAGTCTTAGAACAAGTGGCATCCTGAAAACAATAGTAAAATTATGTTCATAAGTCTATGGCTAGTTTTATATTATTTTTAAATTACTTTTAAAAAAACATTTGGTTTTTAACCGCTTTAACAATATCCCTATTAATTTTTATTTGAAATTATTAACTTTTTATTTCTTTTAAATTTAACTCACTAATGAACTGCAAATTTTTTTTCACATATTAAAAAAATATCTATTTTTGGGGTGATATACTAAATAACGTATCAACAAGGTACTTTTAGCTTGCTTACTGCTATTGAAAACAGAAATGATCAGAAGTTGATTCTTATAAAACAGTATGTGGCCACGTGTAATGTTTACAGCTACAATGAGTGTGCACGCTGAACATCCCATTGCAGTCATCCAAATGAAAATAAGACAAGACATGCTTTTGATATTTTTAAATTATTCCTCTTCAGTCTACCTATTGGCACAAGGAAGTGTAGAGATGTTCACAATTTACCTACCGAAATTTTTCAACTGAAGGGTGTTTCTGCTTTAGATCAAAATGGTTCAACAATTAACAACAATAAATAATTCAGAAGTAAGAAAAAATTAATTTTTACATGGATACTTATGTACAGCTATGGTCACGCAAATAGCACAAAGTATATCATACGAGAAAATGTAACTCTTCTGAGGAACATAACGGTATTTTTCTGAATAAAAAAATGCATAATAGTTACTTATGTTATCTAGTTTACAGTGCGTTTCGTACATTCCCGTTATCCTATCAATCATATTTTTTCGTCGATTTATCTGATCGTTCTAATAGTTAGTGGTGGTCACGCAAATAGCACAGTCATCGGTTGGATCTTGAAAGTATCTTTTTATTTATTTTTAGTGAAATTTAAATACATTTAAAGTTCAGTTCTATCAAAATTTACGCAGATTGAATTAAAATGGGTTGCGGTAAGCACTGTTCTCCTTAAAAAAGGATCATTATTCATAACATGGCTAAGACAGCAAAAAGTGTTTCAGAAATTGCAGTTTTCTGGAATTATTCCCGTAAAATAGTACATAATGTCTTTAAACTGGTTCAAGAGAGTGAAGATTATCTATCCCAAAACAAATCCAAGGCACCTGCCCCGTGCAAGACAGCGATTTTTGAAGACAGAGCCAAAATAAGAAAAAGGAAGCTAGATCCTTTTAAGTTGTCTAGGCAAAAAATGCTGAAAATAAACGAAGAATTCAATTTGACTATATCAAGAAGTCATGTCGGAAGGCTTTAAATAAGGCCCAGCGCTTTGGACTCATTTCCCGCAAAAAACCACTCCTGTCAAAACGGCATATGGAAAAACGGTTAAAGTTTGCTAAGACGCCTGAGAGCCGGGCGATTCGTTTTTGGAAAAATGTGTTATGGACCGATGAAACTAAAATAAATAGATTGAAGCCAGATGGGAAAACCACATTTCATCGCCAAAAAGGTGAAGATTTGAATCCTAGGTACAATAAAAAGAACATAAAACCTAGAGGCGGTAATATCATGATTTGGGGGGCATTTTCCTGGCATGGCGTAGGACCAATTGTGCGGATAAATGGAAAAATGGACAAATATCAATATCTGGACATCTTAAAGAATGAAATGGAATGATTTGTATTTGACTCCATGCCACTAAATTGGACTTTTATGCAGGATAGTGATCCTAAGCATACCGCGAAGGTCAGACAAGATTGGCTTAAGAAGGAAAATATTCGTGTTTTGGATTAGCCTGCGCAAATCTAAGACCTAAACCCAATAGAAAATTTATGAAACGATGTTAAAACAAAAAGAAAACTATGAGAAACTTGTTGAGAGCATGGGACGCATATGTGAAGCTGTTATTAAAAATCGTGGATATGCTACAAAATACTAATAGATAAGACCTAGTTTAGACTAATAATGGTATTTGATCTGTCATATTTGAACTTAATTGAATTGAATTACAAGTTTTGCAAAATGTGCTATTTGCGTGACCAGAGAAATCCATTAGGAACCTCAAACTTTGAATTATTTTAAACTTTCATTGAATTATTATTAAGTTTTTGTATAAAGGTTGTGTTAAATAATAACTGAGTAAACACATCGTTACAATATTTTCATATTTTAAGCACAGATATCCCTTTGTTTCATTATTATGTATCGGAAGGAAAGTTGTGCTATTTTCATGACCATAGCTGTATGTATGTATATAGTTGGTGCTTTATAACTGCTGAAACGATTTTCCAACGAGCCCTTTCTTCAACTTGTGGTGTGCGTACTGTTATTTTTCCAACAAAGAAAGCGACATACAGTATATTGAAAGCCGCCTTCGAACGCCTGATGAATTTTTATGAAAGGCTTTTATTTCATGTCAAAAATACACACGGAAGGGGTCGTCCCAGGGACAGAAAACAACAGTTATTGAAGGGTCGCATACAGTTTGTCAAGAAACTCTTTACATACTAAAAAAAAATACATTTTTTGACCGTACGTGAAAAAATTATAGACTTGTTATATTTTATGGACTTTTTTTCTCAATGCGAAATGATTTCGCAATATCTTTTCAGTTAATACAAAAAAATGACAAAATTAATATATTGAACGAAAAACAACAAAATGTCAGTTTACACATTATTTACACCCAAGAAACTCTGCACAATGTATTGAACCTAATTTTTATTCTCAATTTATGTCTTCTTATAAAAATCTTATTATAATACCTTTATATTAGTAATTATAAATATTAAGTGGCCCCTCTTAGCATTTGCTACATGTTGGAGGCGTTTTTTCATAGATCGGACCAACATTGGCAGGTCATATTCCAATGCAACCTGTCGATTTGTGGCTGCCTTTTTGCAGCTTTTTTCTTAAGATAAACACACAAATCTTCAATGGGGTTGAGATCGGGGTTCTGAGGAGACATGATGGCTTTTCCGCAGTTGTATGGAGCCATGTTCGCACATTAAGTTATTTATGTTTGGAGACATTATCCTGGTAGAAATTAAGTTGCCTTGTTGTTGGAGAAATATCGAATTTCGCTGCACTTGACCTTAAATTTGCATCCAAAATTTGGCAATACAGCACGACATTCATGGTAATTTCTATAAAGGCTCAGTTTCCCGCTCCTTGACTGGAGATGCAGCCCAAATCATAACAGACAAATTGCCATATTTTACAGTTGGAATAATGTTTTGCGGTTCGAGTGCAGTCAACGGCTTACGCCATACTCTGGTTGGGCTATCGTTGTAGTATAGCATCATTTTCATTTCATCACAGTATATGACGTCGTCCCTATAGTCTACCTTACTTGCTCCGCAGAATGACTTGGCGTACAGTTTATGAAATATTAAGATCAAATTTTGTCTTAAGCTCCTCAGCAAGAGATCTCACCGTTATTTGCGGATTTCGGTCGACTTTTCGCATGATTATGCGGTCTGATCGTTCATCTATTTTCCGCTTATGGCCACATCCACTCTTTGCATCAAGCCTTTCCCGCGCTAATCAGGACATTATATTATGTATATTATTTTTCGCGATAAAGAAAACATATTTACCAATTTTGGAACAGATTCGCTTCATTGGTGGTTGTGGTACATCATTTGATTAACTTCAAATGGCAACCTTTTACTGGGCATTTTAAAAATTCTTAACAGGCCTCTCATTGTTACCGGTAAAGTAAATTTTGTTAATTTTTTTAACACCCGAATTTGAATTTGGTATTCTGGCGAACTGATTACAATGTTTGAAAAAAATTTGGCAGCACTGCTTTTTTCGTCCATGTCAAATTACATTTGCCAGTTAATAAAGTAAAAAGAAAAATATTCACATCGAAATGGAAGACGGTGCATAAAAAAATGAAAAAGTTTTAGTAATTTGTTATTTAAATCATAAATATTTGAACCTAATAATGGAAAATATGCCTGGACAACAAAAAAAGCTGAACGAGAACGTTATCTTACAAATTAAAGAGCTATTGTTTAGTCTCGAAAACTTTTTAAAATACGGCTTTTTCATTTTTTTCTTCATCTTTAAAGAAGTCTAGGCCTAAAATATGCCAACCCATTTTGGTTTTTTATTTTTTCTCAAATTTACAACACAAAATCAAACAGCAGATATTTTTGTTCCCTCCTATTTCGCTGGTAACAAAATTTACGGGGTAACAGTGAGCTCAGAATACGAAATGGTAACAAAATTTACTGAATGGTAAATTTTAATACCTAGGTAAATTTTGTTACCTCGGCAGAATAGGCCTGTAAGAGTAACTTTTTACATGCGCTTACAGAAATATTTCACACACAAATCAAAAGGAATGCAAATATAGCATTGCAATAAACAATTACAGATGTATGGATAACGGTTAATTTCCTCTTAGGCAAATACGAGAAGGAAACACATAACGTGTAAACAGTTTCTTGAAGGTGTCAAAAATCTGTCAACTGACATTTTGTTGCATTTTTCCCTGAATATTATTAAAGGTATTGTCAAATCATTTTACATTAAAGAAATCTATGAAATATAAAAGAAGTGTAAGCTTTTTTCACATTTCACAAATCGTTCAATGAATTTTGTTTGTGTAAACGAACGTTCGAAATCATATGATGTGACAACTTCACATTCTATAAATTAGACTTCGATATGACGTAGACATAAAATTTTTTGTTTTTTGAGAACTACATAAATATGACAAAAACTTTTAAAATTTGATTTATAAACAGGGTGCGCCATTTATATGTGGCCAATGGAAATGTTGAATAACTTGAACAATTTTCAATGAATTTTGATAAACTTTCTTAAGCGCCAACATCCACTTTTTCCGATACGCACGCTGTGTTGCAACCACTGAACGAGTGCACTCAATGTACTTTGTAACTATTTCCGCACGTTCTTTATTTCCATTGATGACATATAGATGGAGCACCCTGTATTTTTACCGCAAAATAATCGTTATATTTTGATTTTAATTTATCGCTAAAAAATAAATAAAAATTGGCATAATGGCATCAAAAAATTCATTGTGTTACATTTAGTGAGCGATAAGTTAAAATCTTCTAGAAAATATTAACTATGAGCACATTAATTTTACTCACAATTTAATTCTTACTTTGTGATCTGGAATAAATACTTATCTTATAACTGTTACGCTTTGATGAACAAATATGAATAAGTTATTGCGATAGTATTATATGTCGAGGCCAAACAAAAAGCTGGGAAATGGTAAAAAATCTTAGCGTAACTATTATTCTATCAGTAAGAAATAACTGTTATCAAATAACTCTTATTTGTAAGCGATGAATTAATATCAAATTATAACGATTATTTCGTGAGAAAAAAAAAATAAACTAAAAAATAACTATTAATCCTCATAACTGTTGCGGTTCCTGGGTTGACATCCTTTGACGAAGGGCAACCGCAATTTGAAAAATGAAGCTCATTTTTTAATTAAACTAAATTTCAATAAGTTTTGTTGTTGGTTGGGCGAAATAAATAATCAGCGATTGCAAATAAGAGAGTGAAGAGAAATCTGTCTTTGATATTAGAAATCCAATCGGAGGTTCTGACATTAAATTCCCTTCACTGCTACAATTTTTGACTGAAATTTTGTTCTTGGGTTGTAAGCTAGATTTTTTTGTGGTTGTTAATATAACTTAGCACTTTTTGACCTCAAGTCACTGTGACATAAGATGGCCTTTAACAAGTTTTATTAGCAAGTATTGACCATATTGAAAATTTGTATACATATATAATTGTCGCTTTGTAACCCCTGAAGCGATTATGGGAAAAGCTACTTCTCCTTAAATAATTAGAAAATTTTTTTAAGACTTACCTTTTGTTCTGAAGACAATGATGCAGCAGTGTTCTGACTTCGATTACTACCTCCACTACCTTCTGAACTTAATGAGTTGGTTTGCGAGCTTTCAGTTTTAATGCCGCCATTACAAGTTTGCTTGCTCTGCAACCTTAATCTATTTTCTTCCTCAGTTTCAATAGATATCACATTTGCACTCTCAGCATCTACGTCTATAATACCTCCTTTATGTTTCTGCTTCAAAAATAATGCTGACATACGATGCTGGAGATCACGAAGTTCACGTGTTAATTTGAATTCTGGTGCGTTTTCGAGCTCCAATGGTGGCATGGCACAACGCAAGCTATCCTCCTCATCTTTAATAGGCTCTCGACAAACGGGGCACAAAGCTTGAAAAGGGTCTGCAGTTTTTTTAAGCCAGCTTGGCAACTTGTCGTATTCTTCCTTATATGTGCGCCGTAAAGCGTTTAAATGACGACCCAAGCAGTAGCTGTGCAAGTAATGAAAGCATTCTGTTCGTGTAAAGTCGTCACCATCACTGAAGCCATATAGACACACCACACACTGTCCACTTGGTAAGTTGCTTCCAGTCAAATGCTCACGAACTACCTCAATTAAATCAAACACCACAGGGAAACCAATCGATTCTCGCAACTTCTCATTACATGCACATTTAATTTCTTCCAACCTTGTGTCATCTAAACCACGTGGCCTTAAAAGCTTAAATTGAGGACTTCTTTCTGGATAATCAGTTGTTGGAATAACTTGTAGGGTAACACATACGTACTGTTCGGCTTCATCACCAACTTGTGGAAACACCGTAGTTTCGATGAGTTCTGGCAAACCACTGTTAAAATATTATTAAGTTATGAAGAAAATTATATTTATGTAAACATGAATTTTACTTTTCTAAATTTTTCGTGATTTTAACATCATCCATTAATATAGCTTCCAAAGAGTCCACTTCATCTCTTAATCTGGAGAAAAAAATCTTTTAGTATGTTGCTACATACAAGCCGCTACATAATTTAATACGAATATCTATATATGAATACCATTAATCTGCAACACTTTTTAAAGTGAACATCAACTTACATATCCATTGTTAGTTTTAAATTCTTTTCTTCTAGAGGTTTACTCAAATATTTTTTACAAAACCTCGAAGCAAAATCGATATCAATCGAGTCTATACAACTATTGCACCTGGAATTGCCAAAAACAAAATTCAGTATAATGCGATTGATTATCAGAGAAAAGAAGCAACAAAACAACCGTGCAATGTTGCCACCACATTTCAAAACACTAGTGTAGTGTTCCATTCTTATGCCCAACTTCATAATGTTATACCCTGTTCTGTAAGGGAATTCTCTGTCGTATTATACGATTTTTTGATTTGCAGATAAAGTTAATTAAAGTAAGAAATATTAGAATGAATAGGAGAAGCCTTATACTTAAAAAAGGTAGATGATGTTTATCAAATGTAAAAATATATAAAACAAGTAGATAAAGCTGCGTCTTCCTTTACACAAATATAGGGTTTTTATTTTAGATATATTAAAAAGCGCGAAGCGAACGAAAATTTGCGAGTGTAAAATAAAGCGGATAGAGAAAAAATGAAGAAGAAATAAATGTCGATTAAATAGCTTGAAGAAAGTGTCTCTGTGTGAACGCGAAGGGCGCCACAAAAAAAGAAAATTACGATAAATAGCGACAAAGGTATTCTCATGTAAACTCAAACTAATCACAAAATAATGAGTTTCAGATCGAAAATGATTTGGTGATTTTCGGAACGAAAATATTACATAGAGAAAATTCTAACGGTTTTAATACACGGTGTACTTATTTCAACGATATTCGTTATCGTTGTTTTCGTAAACTAATCGACAAATCGCTAACTAAGCGACGAATATTTTTAAGTTGTTAGTGAATATCTTGACGTTTTTTTTTCTTTAAGGTTAAAATAAAATAAAGTAAGCCGTGATACTGCCTAAGTTTCATAAAAATCTTAATAAAATTTTAAACATAAATGGATTATTAGTATTCGACATACCTTTTATTTTCATAATTGGATAGAAGTTTGCTTCGGGAAGTTGAAGATCGTTTATACTTGAATGCCAACTAAAAGACAGGAGAATAACAGAAATATCTACACAGAAACAGATAATGATGTAGCTTTTAAAAGGTTTTTTCAGCCTTAACACAATTAAAATGCTTAAAGGTTCTCACCATTTTGCGATACTTCGCAACCGGGAATAGAAGAATATCTATGAGCTATTCGACAATAAGCAGGCCTCCATATCCATTGTATAACATACCAACTCAACCGCTCGATGTTTTTTACGACGGTTAGATTGCTATGTGCTTCATCATCGCCACTTTTCCACCTTTCCTTACTTCGATTAACATTAAAAATGAGCTAGAAATCGAATCGTTTACGCATGCGACAAATCGTGTCGTCGAAGTTACTGAATTACGCCACTGAAAACTCATGTTCCACTCGTTCCAATTTGTCTAGAGCAGATACAATAATCGATACATTTTTGACATTGCAAAATATTCGTTTAATGGATGGATGGATGAATCCATATTTTAAATAACTTCAAAAATTAGTATAATACGCATTTCCACGGCAGCCCAATAACGTGTTTCGCTTGTTCGTTCCTCTTGAAAACGTATGAAAAATTAAAGATTTTAGTAGAAGTTAACAAAATCTTGAATTGAATTGGTAATGTAATGCCAGTTTCTTTAATGATTTCTAATTTTTTTTTCTTTAATATACAAATAGCCTTTGGTTTCAACTCAATGTTTGTGTGTTAGTGTCTTCTTTAATGATTCTCCCCTCTTATGTTTTGATTTGTCAGATAGTTTCTATAAAATTTCGATAAGAATTAACGAATGCATCGATTTGGTCGTAATTCGCTAGGTAATTGAGAACGAATTACCCACTTTTACTGTAATTCGGTCACGAAAAATTGTATGGCGAATTAAATAATTTAGCATGCATTTGGAGTGCGAATTACGATTGAGAGAGCGAAACACGTAATTGGGCTATCGTGGAAATGTCATATAAGCATTAATAAAAAAACGGATGTGCTAAAGAACGTTTTGTTGAAAGTAATAAGGTAATGATGGAAAATGTCATATCATCGACTTGGAAAATCATTGGCAAAAGGTTTAAATGTATGCTTTGAAGATTTTGAACATAGAATCCCGAATTCCACAGTTCACGAATTATACGGAGAAGGGAAGAGAATTCATATTAATTTATAGCATTGCAGTTTCATAATCCTATTTTTTAGATAATTTTGCAATCTTCTAATACAAAACCGTGCCGCAAGATGCTTCTGAGAGTGCTGAACTTGCAGAAAATTTTTATACATATGCTACAAAGTTCAATGGTTAACTGCATATATATGTATGTTTTATTAGTTATTTCCAAATGAATTCTTTCGATATAATATTATAATAAAATATTCACACAAGTATTTATGTACAAACATACATACTGTCACTACTACTAACTGATGTAAAATTTTCTTCATCTGACAAATTGATTTTTTATATGCACACATACATTTGTATAGAACTGTGATTTATAACCGCTGAAGTTACTTTCGGCGTCTCCAAAAATTTGAGGCGTTTAATCTAAATCGGCACAGAACACACAGATGGAATTTTACAAGTTGATTTTATGTCGGAAATACACTCGGAGTATTTGACATTCCCTGTCCGTATATAAAATGAAAAAAAAAATTACTTGAAATTCAGTTTCTATATTTCTGGATATTGGCCTGGTCAGAAATCAAAACATTGCTTGTTGTGGCAACTTCATTGATATTAGTCCTGTAACTGAGCTGATGGGCACTGGCAATCGGGAAAGCAAAAATCCAGTAAAATTTGCACCGAGGGAGTGCAATTTTGACATTTTCTTACAGGCTAATTTGTTCTGTCATATCTAATTTTGTTGTTTAACAACTTTAGGAAAGAAAAGCAAATCTAAATTTATGAAAAGTTGCAGGGTTATTCAAATCAAATATTATGTATCGCATTAAATAATTGATGTGGCGTAAAAAAGTTGCGTGCTCGGCATCATTTTGCTTCATCTTGCCTTAACCACCATTTAAGTGTATCTACTTATGCTGCAACTACCCATTTTACATACCGCACAGCCATAATATAAAAACACGCGTATTTCCTACGGGACAGCTGTCAGTGACGGCATCGACAAGCAGAGGCAACTTTCCATTCATATGGCGCTCTCATAAGATAGGTTACCATGGACGGAAGGTATGTAAGATGGGTAGTTGCAGCTGTGTTCGTTGAGAAATGCCAGTAAAAAAATAAGGCAGTAAAGAAATTGAGAGTAAGATGTCTTACTCTCTCAAGCAAAAAATAAAAAACAAATGCGCAGAGTTTTTACCAAACAGGATTTAGTAAAAATTAAACACTAAGTTGTACAACAGTTGTTTATTTTGGCGGTTACATTTAAATTCGTTGATTTATTTTTTGTGATATTAAATATTTTAATAAAATTGACAACTATAAGGCATTTGTAAATAATTAACTGTATTCAGGACTTACTGCATTTCAGCAACTTCAAATTCTACATGCTTTTTAGCCGACCAACGATGGATATGTTATTAATAACAGTCCTCGATATGTTTTCCTAATAGTCCTTTAAAAGGTCGAAGATTTATGTAAATTTGTCGCTTAAATTTCAGATTTTCAGGAAGGACGATTGATATACGAAAGTGAGTTTGGAATTATTTTACCGTATAAGCCGACTATATATATATAATTGATGCTTTGTAACCGCTGAAGTGATTTTCGGTTACTCCTTCAATTTGTGGCTTTGCGTCTCTATAAGAGTGAGTTAGATACCACATGGAAAGGATTTTTAAAAGAAATTTGTTTACTATGCCAATTTAACATATGTACGTACAACTGCCGTACGGCATCACCAACATACCATATTATGTCATTTGGTTCAGTATATACAAAAGTTTTGGTTCAATGGTAAGATTAGCCTAACTTAACACTTACCGATTAAAGTAGTGTCTGGTGGTACACTCTGTCAGATGAATATTCAAGCAGTTCACATACTCTGTTCGATCGATGGAATAGCAACCATTCCGTGATGTTCATATTGTTACGNGTTCTTGTGTTATCGGCTTCTCTCTTTCATCTGACATTCGCCTCGCATTTTCGCAACAATATTTTTACTTTTTTAGCAACTGCGCGCTATTCATACCTTCTTTCGCTTTTTGGCACTAACTGGAAACACCAAGTGAAATCAAATCCTTCTCCAGGTTTCCTCTTCCTCTGCTTCCGCCGTAGGGAACTGCATCGAAAACATTAAAAGCTGGAGTATTCGTATCCAGCCGGACCACATGATCTAGCCAGAGTAGTTTGACTGAAATATCCAATATCTCATATATTATAGTTCATCGTTCCATCGGCTGCGATTTTTGTCGTTTCCAGCGCGCAGGGGAACATAAATATTACGTAAAATCGTCCATGCCTCCGTACCATATAACAGGACGTGAATTATGAGTTATTTGTAGAGTTTGGCCTTTGTTCATCGAGAGAGCACTTTACTTTTCTATTAAGTTCGTTGTTGGTGTTAATGCTGGTTCCAAGATAGACGAAATAATCTACGACTATAAAGTTATGACTGTCAACAGTAACTTGGGAGCCAATTCGCTAATGCCATGCATGTTTGTTCCGATCCCATTTTTATGGGTATTTTCCAAGATTTGGCTCATGATGATTATCTGGTCAATGGGGAATTCACCACGTTTCAAACCAGACGGATATGGTCCGATCAGTTTGTTGACTGCTGCCGCTTAGCTGGCTGATGTCCTCATAAAGTTAAAAGCTGACATCACCGCCGGCCAAGAGATGCGATGGACGAGACAAAGTTGGAAAAAGGTGGGATCTTTGTGAAATTTACTACAGCGGCCATATAAAGGAGCGCAAATTTGGTGTCGGATTCGTGGTGGGACATAGACTACGTCGCCGAGTACTGGTATTCTCTCCGGTTGTTGAACGTATCGCCACAATCCGAATCAAAACGAATTTTTTTTACAACACGCTGAAAGATGATACGACCACAGACGCCTTTTACGAGCGCCTCGAGCACACTAATGTCTGTTGCCCCCGCCACGACGGATTTGGATGATTTCTCAGCTTTGTGAAGTATTTCGTTATGCTTCAAACTGATTGGAACTTATCAGTTTTTCTTTAGACCTGGTAAGTCAATCATTGGCCAGATATTCACCATGTGCCGAATCTTGGAAAAGTCCCGTGGGAAAAGAATTGATACACACCACCTAATCGTCGATTTTAAAGAAACCTTCTGTAGCACTAAAACTGACATTAAGCAACCCTGAAAGCTCCGTCAGAATCGGGAAGGACCTATCCGAGCCGTTCGATACCAAACGAGGTATCAGGGTGACTCTTTATCGTGTGACTTCTTCAATTTATTGCTGGAAAAAATAATACGAGCTGCAGGGCTGATTAGAGAAGTTGCAATCTTCTACAAGAGTGTACAGCTGCTGGTGTACACCAGTGATATCGACATTACTGGCCTCGACAACTGGGCTAAACAACCGCGCTGTTAGTTCTGCTTTATCCAAACTCTATAAAGAAGCGAAGCAAATGGGTTTTGTAGTGAACGAGGGCAAGGCGAAATATCTCCTGTCATCAAACAAACAGTCATCGCTCTCGCGACTCGGCTCCCATGTCACTGTTGACAGTCATAACTTTAAAGCCGTAGATAATTTCGTCTATCTTGGAACCATTATTAACACCACCAACAATGTCAGCCTGAAAATCCAAAGCAGAATCACTTTTGCCAACAGGTGCTACTTTGGACTGAGTATGCAATTGCAAAGTAAAGTCCTCTCTAGGCGAACGAAAATCCAACTGCACAAGTCCATCATCATTCGCGTCGTTCTATATGGTGCGGAAGCATGGACGATGACAATATCTGATGAATCGACGTTGGGAGTTTTCAAAAGAAAGGTTTTGCGTAAGATATAAAGTACTTTGCGCGTTGGCAACGGCGAATATCGCCGACGATGGAACGATGAGCTGTATGATGATATTGACAGAGTCCAGCGAATGAGGAGACAGCGGCTACGCTGGCTAGGTTATGTCGTCCGAATGGATGAATGCGCTCTAGCTTTGAAAGTACTCGATACCTAGTTGTAAAGATATCTTCATAAAAACTTATTCAACCAAAACAAACCGCAAAGGCAAATTTCAATCTCAAGTAAATCGAACCACAAATATTAGCTTTAAGAATAGATCCGTTCCTTGTCCATTTCCCAAAATTTGGCAAATATTTCAAGGTCAATATCCAATTAATTTTTATTATATATCATTTGTACATATCTACTATTGGCGTTTAATGACCGCTGAAGCGATTTTCGGCCAAGTCTTCCTCTAATTAGTGATTTGCATCTTCATATTTTTTTAACAAATGGAGGAAACTACAATTTATACCGATCCACCTCCGAACGGGCGTAATTTTTTCTGTCATGGCGACCGCTATTAGAAAAGTTAATTTTGGAATTCGAATTCTTTGCCAACTACTCGGCTATTGCGGTCATATATATGCAGGTACATATGGTATATTTAAAAATCTGAAGCGTTAGTGCGCCTTTGTCAATTTTTGTATGTAACATTTCAAGCCTAAGGCTAAATCCAAAAAGTCTATCCAGAGGAGCTAAACTCTGATTCAGTGTTGTCAGCAGGAACGAATTTCCGCTTAGTTTACAAAAAATCCTTCTTCATATGCATGCATGTATTTTAAACTGTTGAAACTTCAAGTCAACTAAGGGAAAATTTGCGTAACACAGATATACTTTTATTTCAAGCTTTTACTTTAGTTCGAAAGCTCAGGTAGCTCAGCCTGTGGGAGAATTATTGTAATTGGATTGCACTCACCAAAAATCGAATGATTTAGTTCTCAATGCGCACATTTTATTCTCTCGTCGCAATAAAAAATTTGAACTTTTGATTCAAATACTTGCACGAATGTGTGTGTATGGACCGAGCTATTCGCTCTGACAGCGAATTTCAACCCCCTTTGGCATTCAACAAAAGTGAGATCTTGAATTTATAGACAACACGTGCTGTTTTGCTTTGCGCTTCATGTTGACCCGAAAAGAAATTTTGTAAGCAAATACGCAGTCGGATAATTCGAGACGAACTCGATGAAAAGAATATCTTGTACATTTTTTTGTGTTCGTTTCGAATTTGAAAGTAGCCCGAGTAAATCAGATATCTGGAAAATACTATTTTATTCTTATTTTGGTGTTATTTGGTGAAACAATGGAAGGAAAAAATTCGAGTCGAATTCATTGTACTTATTGGGCATTTAAGTACATAATGTATGACGATGTATGTACATATGTATACTTTGTATAACCATACGAATATTACAGCTTTTATTTTCCTAAATACTCTATATTGGTTCAAAGAGTGTTTCCCATTTATTTCCTTCAAAAATGTACTTTTGGTCTTTTAGGGGTGCGTGGAGGAAATGTGTAAGCTTTGTAAAAATAGATAGTTCTTACATTCTTATATACATATGGTTGCTTTTACATTTAAGCACATAGAACATACAAGGACTATAGCCAGCCATTATCGTCATTGCAGCTGCCGCTCGTCCTCATACGTGTATAGCTGCTCCACGAAGCTTACGAAGCTTGTTCTAGCGATTGGGAGCGCAAGCTTCTCAATTTTGCAAGCAATATTCACCCAAATATGTTTGCAAACATATTTACATAGATATGCACATGGATACCATATACGTTGTGACGGCAGTACCAGCGTTATAGTTTTCGCCTTTAATTTTGACGATTCAGTTTACAGTGGAAAGTTTCAAAAGACAGTCGTGAAACGCGGGTGAATATTGGTAGGAAACAGTTAATATCAAAGAAACTTTCCTTAACTTAATATATATGTACTTATGAAAGCCGATTTTCAATTTCGTTTTCGAAATCATTCAATTCCAAATAAATAAGGAAAATAGAGATATATTGATTTAAAATTTATAGGTACATCTCAAGATATATGTATATGCGTATATGTGTTTCTAAATGGATATGCCACTCCCTCGAAGTGTATAATAAATTAAAGTAAAAAAAAAATGTTTGAGGGGAAGTTTTTAGTGAATTTTGAATATTTATGATTTTCCAAAATATGGAAAGAGCTGGCGAAAATTTGTGCGAGTAAATTATGTAAACATGATGAAAGTATATATTTATGTATGTACGTATATACATATACCCTACGTATACATATGTATGCACTGAGAGCAAATTTCTGGAAAAAAATAAGAAAGTGTTGGACGATAAATTGAATAATTTATTTTTTCTTTATGCCGTAATTAACGTGTGGTAATCAACGAAAATGCTTAAAAAATTTTCTGGCCAGTTATGAGAACTGATGGCAATGCATATTATAAACATTCTTTAAACATATGTATGTATGTATGTAGGTACATGTATATGTTGGTATGATTGTGCATTTATAAAGGGTATTGATATACATATGTACGTGCAAATATTCACATTATACATATTTACATATGTATGTATGTATGTATGTATGTTCACATGTCTATACCTAAATACAATATATTTGCGTGTATGCGCAGCTCGAATGAATTTGCTTTTTCGATTTTTGCTGAAATTGTTAATGCACTTAATGCACTTTTGCTATTTAGGTAAACAATCACATCCCTCCCCTTGACAAGACCGGAAAAATTGCTGAAGAATGCCGACAAATTATTTAAATATGTGTATAATTACATATTGTACATATAAATGTATATGACATTCATATATAAATGGAAATATATTTAAATACGTGCATGTGTGTCTGTGGATATAACGAATTGACGCTTTCCCGTTTTCTTTTTGGCGCATTCGATGGGGGTATGGTATGGTTAATACAATACTTTTCAGCTTCGGTGATGCGATTGGGTGTTTACGTATGCAGTTGAGGCTGGCAATGGCAATGTGAATACGCACGTTTTAAGGCACAATTCTTATGCGATTGTGCGATTGTGTGATTGTGTGGGTGTGAGCTTAAGACAGGAGGTGAGTAGTGTTAAGCGAAGTTTGCTCACCCCCAAAATTGTGGAAGGGAAGGTTGTGACGTGATGTCACAAGGGCCATGTGAGTGTGTGGCGCCGTTTCGAACGCGGGCATCTTGAAATCAGAGAAAAATCAATTTTATTTTTATATAACAATGATAGGCAATGTAAACAGTTTCGCTGTGGCATTATTCGCGTAAGTGAGACTTACTTGATTTTTATAAACGTAAATAAGCCATAAATACAAATGAGGATGAAGATCATTACATTAATATAATTTATTTCTTTTTTTTACTAATTTAAATATGCTTAAAACATTACTAATGACCCTGATTTTGGACCGAAGGCTTTAAATTTACGTAATGTGTCATGTAGTATGTACGTATGTATGGCTGTATACAAGGGTAAAAAAAAATTCAAAAAAAATTATTCCATTATTTAAAAGAGATTCCGTTTTACAAGAGCTTCAGTTAAGCTATCTAGATACATACATATATACGTATGTACATATTAAAGAAAGGCAACGATAACTTATTGATTTATTATAAAGTTTATATCTGTGAATTACTGTACATTTATAAATAAATATATTGCATGTCTACATACATATATATGTACATATATACATATTCATATAAATCTTGTATCTTGTGTAACTCTTCTACTTACAAACGCTTCCGTGCAGTTACTTTGAAGAAATGGGAGAGTTTATAAATAACTGTAAACGTTTACGGACACAGAAATTTGACTTACTGTTTAGTTGTAGATATTACGAAGTTGTACAATATTTAATATTTTTTTTTATGATACTTACCATTAATTTGCATTTGTACATATGTATGTAGATATTGGTGTGCCCGATCAAAGTTGCGGGTTTTACCTTTTTTGATAAAATATAATGTTGTTATTATGAAAGATATTAAATCTGCCAGTGCATCTGTGTGACACTTCAACTTAGTGTCTTAAAGAACTGAGGTACTAGTTTGTGTACAAACAGACAGTCATGGCTAAATCAACTCAAAACGAAATGTTTGAAAATATTCCGCCATATAGTGATATTTCTTGCAATATTTCGGAGCTGAAGCTAAATTTAAGTTATTCACATTCTTAACTATTATTATTATAAAGATATCGAAAAATACGCATATGCAGACATATATAACTAGACGGAGGCTCAACAAATAATTATTCGTGAAAGCACAATAACCGATTATTTCAAATAATTTGATTTTTTCTTCTTCTTCTTTATTCTCGATTAGATTGTTTTTTAGTTTTTTTACAACGATATTTCTGTATAAACGAGACACGTTAGTTTATTTAACAATTTTATCTTATTGGTAAAACAATACGATTCCATGATCCAAATTGTACCGGAATGTAAATGAGATCTTGGACGAAATGTCTAACTTGAGCCTCGATCAAATTAATTTCGTTACTCTTAATGATTATAAATTTTGTGTTTTGTGAAAGTATATACAAGTAGAACTCTCCATTACTTTCCCGTTAATAACATGAGATTTGCGAAGGAAAAGCAACACTTTTGGGATGTTTTAAGATACTTTATCTAAATTAGCTGATGACTCTTCAGAATTTTCTCAAATTAGCCATCGATCGACGAAAGAAACTGTAGTCTAGAACGAGTATACAACTATGTGTATTTGGGATTACGAAGGACCCTAAACTTAACTTCTGTCTTTATATTAAAATCACAGTCTTAAAAGCTAAAAAGTACAAGTCTTCAGAGTTTGAGAATGTCTAAAAATTATACAGAAGAACATAGGACCCATGTATTTAATGTATTTCATTATTTGATTATTTAGTCATCGTTCTTACCTGTGTACCTAAAATGCCTAGCTGCTGCCGGATCTTAAGCTATTTATTGATGGCAATAATAGAATATATTTCATTGGCAGAAACACTCTTTATCAAGCTTCACTTTTTGAATTAAGGCATTTTCGATGGGACTATAGATTAAAAATTCCTCCAATTCAATTTTTGGTCCATTGATCTTGTCTGAGTTGAACTTCTTGTATCTAGGCATTTTATTTTGAATGGAAAAATAAAACTAAATTTGCAGTTAATATTTTTGATGATACAAATAAAACTTAAAATACAACGGTTATTTATTAAGTTGAAGGTAATGATTTTTTTATCAGAAAAATAAAAAGGTCAAAATGGTTCTAATTCGAGGAAAAATTGCGTTTCAAATTCATAAAAAATTTCATTGAAAATTAAAGCAAAGTTGCGATATTGTAGAATACGATGTCATCTTCGTGAACCGCCCGATTACTGAGTTTAAGGACACGAAATTTGACGTTTTTGTATTGATAAACTACAAGAAAGAAAAATATTATCAAACAGTTTTTCTAATATATATTTTCCTCTGTATAAATTTTTTACATTTACATTTATATATATTAAATAAAAATATCTTTTTATATTATAAATATAATTGATGACTGTAAATATGCCGAAGTTAGTTTTCCGTAGCTTTATATTTTTGAAAGCTTGTATTTTTCTCATTTTAATGCCATTATGCCCGAGTAGTTAGTATTGCTGTGCCAGAGTGGTTAACATTGCGTATTGCCGTTTGGAAGGCTCGGATTTAAATCCTGGCGTCGTACTAACATCCAAAAAGTTATACAAAATTAATTTAAATTAAAAATTAAGCTAAATTTTCTAATTGCGGTCGCCCCTCGGCAGGGAATTTCAACCGTTTCGAGTGTATTTCTGATATGAAATAACTGCGGCTTAGTATAAACTGTAGGTCCACAAATTGGAAGAGGAGATCGACCGAAAAATCCCTTCAACGGTTACAAAGCGCTAATTATATATGTATAATGCCATAGCACGACCAATGCAATTTTGTGACTTCGTAAACTGAACTGCACAGTTAGCATCAGTTATCTATTCGCCATCTTCCGTTAATTCCCTCTCCGATTTGTGTATTTCATAGCCGTAGATATCCCAAATTGAGAATGAACCGATCTAGAAGAACTAAATAGCCTGACATTTTACCGTTCACCACTGACCAGATAAGTTTTGCCACGTTGTGTGTGGTTTTATTAAGTCACTTGCTATTGGTCTTTCTAAAATATGTCAGTTTTAGCTTTGCATGTGGTAGATGTACATATATTCGTATCCTGTGTAGAGTTTGATTTAGTTCAGAAGGTTTATTTTCTCACAAGCTTCCGGTTTTGCTGCATTTTCTCGACAGTCTATGCGGAGTACTTCGAAAACTTTTTGCCACTTCCAACAATGTATCTATCCAGCTAATGGAACTATATGTCTTGCTGTCTGCTTGTATAGAGGATTTACATGGATACTACAGGCTAAAAAACTACAGCTAAAGCTTAATTTTACCAGTTCCCATAGGCTTTCAGTCTTAATGCCACCAGAAAGCCAATACCGATGTATAGATTTCAAACTAAAACTTTAAAAGTAACGAAAATATCCATAGAGATCTAAATATAATATAAACACCATAAAAGAAGATATTTAAGTTTCACATAAATAAACACAAAAATACGTAACAAAACTGCACAGTCATCCGAACACCTAAATCTTCGCAGCATGTTTAGTCCTCCTGAAGAAAATTGACAAAACAGCCTTCTAAAGAGCAACGGTTGCCATAGTTTGTTATGTTTTAATTTAACTATTTAACAAAGTTTTACCAATTATTGAGATATTGAATAAATTGAAATTTTAGGAAAAAAGTCTTTTGACGTGGTGAAGATACATTGTATAGTAAAACAGCTTGTCAGCTCCATTATCTGAGTATACTGGTATAGTTGTTGATTGGTTAGTGATCATAGCCCTTTGTTCCTCTCCTCCTATTTAAATTAGTTCTTCTATTCCTCTAAAGGATTCTCCTTAAAAAGAAATTTTCAAAATAGAATTTAGACAAATTCAACTCTTCCGGAATTTGTTGTGGAGCTCATTTGAAGTTCCTGTACT